TTAAAAAGGTTAGAAAGATATTTTTCCAAAGGATTTTACTGAAGTTGGGAGTTTAACGATATGATTTGAACGGTATCCTGTTGGGAACATGTTGTGATCATTGTGGTGCCATGATAGACGTGGTTTACGTGATTTATTACTGCTCAGTCTTTTTTTACTCTTATTACTTACTGGGTTGGAGTACTCACATTACTCCCTGCACCTTGTGTGCAGATTCAGGTATTTCTGAGCTTGGCGGCAGTTTTATCAGAGTTAGCAAGGTAGCTGCCTGGCGATCGCGGCTCTGCTTTCTCCCTCTTTATTCTTCCTTATGTATAAATCGTGACTTTTCCCGACCATATTGGTCTTGATGTAGTTAGACAGTTGTAGTAGATGCTCATGACTAGTGACATCCCGATGTCGGGCTTGTATGTTATTTCTGCACTGTTCATTCAGACTTATATTATGAAACATTTGTTTAAGTAAAGGCTTAAAAATGACTCTTAATGATTAAAGGGTTAAAATGGGTATTGTGTCGGCTGGCCTTGTCTTCATGAGAGGCGCCATCACGACCAGGTCTGAGTTTTGGATCGTGACAAGTTGGTATCAGAGCCTAGGTTACATAAGTCTTACGAGTCATGAGCAGGTTTAGTAGAGTCTCGTGGATCGGTACGGAGACGTCTGTACTTATCCTCGGGAGGTTGCAGAATCTTTAGGAAAAACTTCACATTCTTGAATTCTTATAGTGCGTCCTTGATTCAGCTTGAAAAGTAACTCTTTGAATTCCTTCCACGTGTCCGTATACGCGCATGAGCGGTCAGTATCAGATGTGCATCGATGGCTTGTGATTCCCTGATCGAGGGGCGAGATGTGATCTATGTGTGTTGATGTTGGGCCAGTCTGGAGGACTCGAGGCCGGATTTTTTTGCCTATAGCTTGAGCATCGAGGTGTTGATTGTGTGAGCAAGTGTTTTTTTTAGCTTATACGTTTGGTAGTGCCCTATTAGTAGAAGTGATAGCTAAATGGCTACATAATGAGTGTGATGTGACTGCGAGATGTAATCATATGATTTGGAAACGACGAGAAGGGTCTGCGGGAGGATGGAAGAACCATTAGGTACTTGATGTTTATCTTGATTTAAGGTATAGCCCCGAGTTATTGGCGTGTGAAGAATCTTTCCATGTTTCCTAGTTGGGATTGAAGTAAATTTCATGTTGCGGTATGAGTCCAGACTCAGGAAGAATAAGTGACTGCGTAGTGTTTATGACGGCGGGAGGTATACATAAATGTTAGTTGGAGGCAAAGCAGGTGGGTCATCTCATGCGGAGTGCTCTGAAGTTGTGTGATCCTTATGTTGTCTGTTGGAAGGTCTCACATACAAGTGAAAGATATGTGTTGCAATTTAAATTTGGGTCGCTTAAGAGAGTGGGTCTAACTGTTACGAGAGTGAATGCGAGCTTGCAAAATATTTAAAGTACCAGATGGTCTGTGTCTCACAAGCTTATAAAGGATCGAGTTTAATCTCATTATGGTATTATGGCAGCAATAAAGTATATGCGTTATGAGTTATTCTGTACGTTTTGGTCTATGGCTTCGAGCCAAGTGGGGGAGTCCACCATTAATTAGTCGATTGCACGGTTATGTGCTATGTTGGTTCCATCTTGAGGCGTGCGGGTGAATCAGTTATGGCTTACAGAGATTGAGACCGATGATGGCTCGAGTAAAGGAAAATTTTGACGAAGGTCATGTCATGCTTCATAGGTGTATGAGAATCACGGAATTTCTTGAGTTGTTATTGGTAATGGATGCTCGGTGCATAGAGTAGGAAGTTGCTTGGTTGTTCTAAGATGAGGTTACACTCTGCGGGTCGGAGTGCTATTAAGGCACGGGTGGTTCTGTTCGTTTGATCAGGCTAATTGCAGTTTGAATAGAGTGAATGACTCTCAAGAATGGTTCTAATGTGTTCAAGGTTTTACATGTAACAATTGGGTATTTTCAAGTTGTATGTGTGGCTAGAAACTGAGTTTTCATTGGAAGATGTCAAGACTTGTGGTATTTCTATATTAAGCAGGGGATTCTATATATCAATATCAGGAAGGTGAAGGTAATGGCTTTGGATTCGTAGGAAGTCTCTTCAGGGTAAGCATTTTGAATGTGGTGCTGTTGGGAATATATAGAGAGTATTCATCGGCTTATGGACCGTAGGACGGTGTGGCTGTATGCTTGGGTCTCGAGTGGTAAGTCTGGGTTGAGGAATTGTGATGTTATAGCAAGAAGGAGTATCAAGTTGAAGGTAAATCAGAAGGGAACTCGGATAGATGGGATAGCTTGGTAGTAGGCCGAGTCGGTATAGTAAGGATATAATTAGTTCTTTGGATGCTTACGAGGTAATGAGTTTCTACGGGTATTTCGCGGCAATGCTCTAGGGTTTTAGTGGCCTGCGTAGCTCGGTTGAGTTAGAAGAACCCAGTCCTGACGATTTAGATTTGTGCAAATGAAATTCGGAGAGTTCTAGATGGTTTCCACCACAGCTAGGGAGGTATATTTTTCCTATTGGCGTGAGGATCATGGGATGTATAGCGATTTTCTTTTAGATGGGATCAACGGGAAGTTCTTGGCTAGTGGAGTACATGGTTGCTTGTGGCTCGGAAGGGATATGAAGTTCTCGTGGTTATCCTAGGATGGTACAGTTTATGCGGTATGTTGTATAAGATTGAGATTTGCATGTGTAAGGACACAATTCAGATTTGAAAGGGAGGTCACAAATTCTTAGATAGCATGTGCAGCTTCAGGTGACTAGATAAATGAGATCACTTATTTGTGCGGCTTGATGTGGGTAGATGTAGTTAGACAGTTGTAGTAGATGCTCATGACTAGTGACACCCCGATGTCGGGCTTGTATGTTATTTCCGCACTGTTCACTCAGACTTATATTATGAAACATTTGTTTAAGTAAAGACTTAAAAATGACTCTTAATGATTAAAGGGTTAAAATAGGTGTTGTGTCGGCTGACCTTGTCTTCACGAGAGGCGCCATCACGACCAGGTCTGAGTTTTGGGTCGTCACACTAAGCTTGCTAGGATATTACAAACATCATAAGATAAAGACTTAACAAAAATATAAAGTTCTTTTTGTTCACTTTCCACAATATGTTTATTAATAGATTGATCGATGAGCTTCCAATAATAATTAATCGACTATGACACAATTTATTTGCATATTAAGTTCTTCTTTTGTTTTTTAATTTCTTAAATTATATATGATCTTTTCCCTGATCAATATCATGATTGAATATCAAACCGGATCATGAGTTAATAGAAAACCGTGTAAAGATTATATTTACTGAGGGCGGAGCTAGATGAACGAAAGGGGTTTAGCCGATTTTCCTTTTGCCGAAAATTATACTGTATATACAAGACAAACTTTTTTTAGTGTATATATATTAGGTATTGAATCACCTTATCTTGTTTGCATCCTTACTTTTTTATGTTTGAATTCCTTAGCCGATATTGATATCTAGTCGTAAAATATTTGAACTAAGTTCTAATAACAACATAATAATAATATGATTTTTTTGGATGAGCTGAGACACGTCTGGCTTAGATTTTAAAGAAACAGAAGATGAACAAATATGGGCATGGGTGGTCAGTTTCGGGTCTAGTGATCATCTAATTCCATTTTGGGACTTTTATTAAGAAACAATTACATCAAGTATTAGTTTTGGTGATGATTTTATAAATAATATTCTTAGATTAGTATAGACAAATCACCCTATTTTGTCAACAAGTTGCTGTGGTGTAGTGGTTATCACGTCAGTCTTACACACTGAAGGTCCCCAGTTCGATCCTGGGCAGCAACATATTATTTTGTGGCTGTTTCTTGTTTTTGCGAAAACTATTTTAGTTTAAACAAATATTTTCCAAAAATCTGTATTACTACAATTTAATATTTGGCAAAATACAAATTGGACGATCGGCTGAAACTAATAACATCCGCTAGTCAAAAAATATATTTTCTATTGACTATTATTTTTGGAAGTGGCTAAAAATATATATTTTTCTTTAATATTTTGATACATAGATTAGACCAAAAAAACTTCTTACGCCTTTTATTAGCATGTCATTTGTTTCAACTCACTCAATATGCGAAACTTTGTTAAAAAAATTTACTGAGAGATATGTATATTTATTTTTCAATTAATGAGTTGTGTATAGTTCTTCTAAGTTGCTTTTCTCATATAAAAATAGTTAACTAAGGGTGTGTTTGGTATGAAGTAAAATATTTTTCTAAGTCCTAAAATATTTTTTTACAACGCTTAAGGGTGTAAAAGACTGGACAATTAGACTGTAAATACTTCTTTTTTTATAAAATTCTAGGATATTCAAGTTTCCAATAGAGAAACTTGCAAGAGTAATAAGTAATAGTTTCTTGTAGTAGTAATTATCTTACATACGCACGTTTAATCAGCTGAAGCTTTAATCTAAAATTGTAATCTTGGACGATCGGCTGAAACTAATCTAAGGGTGTAAAATACAAATTGGACGATCGGCTGAAACTAATGACATCCGCTAGTCAAAAAATATATTTTCTATTGACTATTATTTTTGAAAGTGGCTAAAAATATATATTTTTAGCCACTTCCAAAAATAATAGTCAATAGAAAATATATTTTTTGACTAGCGGATGTTATTAGTTTCNTATATATATATATATATATATATATATATATATAGTGATTGTAATAAATTACTAGGTTCGTTACCATTTTGATTAAATTATCAATTTATCAAATTTTTTATTTATAACTAGTATATAAATTATTTATATTATTAGTACATAAAATTTTATATCCATCTTTTATTAATCTTCCCCTTATAAGACTTCGGGCTACTTCTTTTCCCAATATATAATAAAGGTTAATTTTTTTTCAGGGGCTAAATTAAAATAACAAAAAAGAAACACATCTTTTGAGATAACAATTTCGAAAGGGAACAAATTGTAACACTACAAAAACTACAAGGACCAACTTGATATTAATATTAACTCTATAAAACTCCACACCGGTCTCGCTGCCGGTGAGTTCAATTCGCCGGAATCGCCCCCACCTTCGCCATTAACATGGCTTACTCAGTCTTAATCTCAATCAAAAAGACCAAAGTGCCCTTTTCACTAACCTTATTCTCCATTGCTAAAAAAGTTTCCCTTTTCTCCACACTATGCAACAAGAACCATCACCAAACTAGTACTACTACTACTCCACCTGTGGCAAAGAAAGTGCCTTTTACAGTTTCTGCACATGGGGTTACGTGGAATGATCCCTACCGTTGGATGACCAAAACAAACGACCCTGATTTTATCAACTACCTTCAGCAAGAAAATTCATATGCTGAGAGTTTCATGAAGGGTACTGAAGAAATGCAAAAGGGTTTGTTTAATGAGATGATTAGTAGAATGCCTTCCAAGATTTCTACCCCACCTGAACTATGGGGTCCTTGGTTTGTCTATAAAAACTTAGCTTTTTTCACTTTGTTCATATGCATGTTTTGATATGAAAATGTAGAAAAAATGTTTGAATTGATTATTGTTTTAAATTTTTGGAAGAAGTTTAAATAATAGTTTGAAATGTTAAACAAAAAAAAGCAGATAACTTGTGTGAAAATAAAGCAAATTAGAGTTAGATTTTAATATGATTTGAGAGGAAAAGTTTGAGCCTTAAAAAAAATTCCACTTTTCTTCACTTCAACGACTCTATCTAGATGTGAGCTTGCTCACATTTCCGGTTCCAAGCTCGGATAAAATGAGGAGGATTGCCGTAACTTGACAGCTAGCGTAAAACCTGTCATTTTGTGATGAATCCTCAGAATACTGAAATTCGTATAGGTAATACCAACTAGAAAACTAGTGCTGAGTAGAAGACTCTTAGCATATTAGAGATTTAGTCACTAGAGTATATTAGAGAACTCCTAGTGGTAGATAATCCTTAAGTACGGAGCACTGAAATATTATGGACCCAAACAGAACATTTATGATAATGAAGATTCATACAGCCAAGCTCAAATAGCTTTGGTTGAGGCGTAGTAGTAGTAGTAGTTGTTATTGTTATGTTTACTTCAAAATATAATATCTTTCATTTGCTCCTTAAATAAATACTAAAAAGTTGATAATGAAGATTCATACAGCCAAGCTCAACTAGCTTTGGTTGAGGCATAGTAGTAGTAGTTGTTATTGTTATGTTTACTTCAAAATATAATATCTTTCATTTTCTCCTTCAATAAATACTAAAAAATTCAAACTGCCAACTTTTTCGCAAGGTCAAAGTAAGACTATCCATTTGAAGAAGAAATGAGTCATAGTTTTGGTAGAAACTAGAAAAGAAACCAATTTAATCAAATGAGACAGAAGCAACTACTACTTTTCTGTTTGAATCTACAAAATTTTGCACATCCATATTTAAGTCCATGTAATAAGCATATTACATGGTGTACAGTTTGTATTAGGTCTTAGTTGGACTACATGGTGTACAATCTGTATAATCCTTGGGTTATATAGTGGAAAAGCCCAATCGAATTAATAGTCCTTCTAACTGTTGTGTGAACTAAGGAGTTGTTTCTGTCTTGAACTATTATACTGAATGTTCTGAAGAATCCTTTGTCGTATGATCTCAATGCTACAGGCTGCATTTGGTTTACCATATGCTTTGGTATGTCAAATGGTTCGGAATTCTGTTTTAAGAATCTACTTGCTACAAAATGTCTTTCTTTGTTGGTTGATCGTTGGTATGTTTTCGGATTGTTAACAGGTTATACTACCAGTACATTCCAGAAGGGAAGGAGTTTCCGGTATTGTGTAGGAAATTGGCTGCTGAGAGCAAAGGTTGGATGAAGACTGTATCCAATTATGTGATTGGAGTTTCTAAGGAGGAACAAATACTGCTAGACTGGAATGAAATTGCGGAAAGATATGGTATGTCATTCTCATATTATTCCTTTAACAACCCTCTTTTCACTCTTCTTGTTTCTTTTTCAAGCACTTGTTATATCTATTTTGCCTCCTTGTGTGTTTTTGTGAATTCATGTCATTTTTCTTCCCATCTAGCTCTAAATCTTCACTTCCTATTGCTTTTGATATGTTATTAAAGCAGGCTCAGAGCTGTTTCCCATTTCTTGAGCATGATTGAAGGACAATATAAATTATTGACTTGCATGCGTGTGTTAGTTTAAGGAATGAATCCACTCTAAAAGTATATCCACATGATAATATTGAGGTTAACAGGATAATAAAGGGTTAAAATACTAAGAGAAAAGAAGGAGAATATTCTTATAGGTTTCATGATAAGCGTGCAGATCACAAGTCAGTGTTTTAGGTTTTGTTAGTTTTAAAGAACGTTTTTGCATATGTTTTACTTTGTTCTTGTTTTCGTAGGATATGTTCATGTGGGTACATGTCGAGTGTCTCCAGACCACAATTATCTTGCTTACACAGTTGATGCTACTGGTAGTGAGCAGTTTACGCTTAAGATTAAGGATCTGCGAAATGACTGCGTTCTGCCAACCCTAGGAGTTGAAGGGGTTGTTAGCGTAGAATGGGCTCAAGATTCTTGTACTTTCTTCTATACGTTATCCGACCAGAACCAGCGCCCTTACAGGCAATTCTCTGTACTATGATTACTACTTAAATTGGATATCCGGATGTGTTATTACTTTACAATTATGTGGCCAGGGTACATTGCGTAAAACTGGGATCAGATTCTGTGGATGATGTCCCACTGTTTGTAGAGAAGGATTCCCGTTTCTGTGTGGACATAGCAAGTACAAAGGATGGAAAGTTTATTACTGTGAATTCTAATTCAAGAACTTCATCTGAGGCAAGAAAATTTACCTTTATCACGGCATAGATACTTCTTTGTATTGGTGAGGAAGTAGTTTTTGATTCTCTTCATTGTCTTATTGCAGGTTTATGTCATCAATGCAACCAATCTGCAGACTGGAATTCAAAGATTTTGTAAGCGTGTGTCTGGTGTACAATATTTTCTTGAACATCATCATGGATTTTTCTATGTTCTCACAAATTCTCGTAATGTTGGTGAGGAATCACCTTCTAGTGGAGAGTATTATTTGGCTAGATGCCCTGTTGAGAACTTGCAGTCAACCAGTTTGCAGGTATATTGTCTTCCTTCAAATATTGATTCTTTAAGGGGCTGCTGCTGATGATAAAACATTTATACACGCATGAATATAAAGCTCTGAAATTGTTCTCCAAAAGCATTCTATCTATTGGATACTTCTTTTGACTTTTCTTTCATATGGCTTTTAAGCTGATGAAGGATTTGTACATTTGCTTTGTACCTCACTCTAGCTAGTCGTTTTGGTTTTGATATGAGGTTACATGCTCGTTATCTGCCAGCATAATTATGATATGTTGGTTATTTTGCTGCCTAATAAATGTTTCACATAGTATTTGCTGTCAGCTTGATCGCCTAACTCCTCTACCTGGGCAAGTGCAAAATTGGAATTGCATAAACACATACTTGTGATTCAAAAACATTTATTTTCAGTTTTTGGTTTTTATCATCTGCAAGCTTTGTCTGCAGAATATTATAGTACCCAGTGGAGACATTTTCATCCAAGATATGGACATGTTTAATGAGCATCTGGTGCTTTTTCTCAACAAAGAGGGTTCCTCATCGATATGTTCTGTTGATATGCGAACGATCATCAATTGTGAGGTATAACTTAAAACTTAAAATAGTTGTGATTGTTTGAGTGTGGAAGGCTAAATTAGTAAATCAGTTTCTGAGTTTGTATTAAACTTATCTCCTATTCCTCAGTTTCTTTTCCTTGCTAGGTCGAAGGAGGAAGCATAATCATCTCTTAATTATCGTTACATGTGTAAAGTTGACCAATACCAATGTTTCTTACTATCTTCCTGTTGCGCAGGACCAAATGAAGATTGATGAACTTAACCCATGGTTCTTTCCTCTTCCCTCTGATATGTGTGCAATAGCTCCAGGATCAAATCATGATTTCACGCGATCTATATACCGCGCTGTTGTTTCTTCCCCAGTGGTAATATTGTCAATATTCTTCAAATGATCTGCATCATATTGATTGTTGTACCGTTGCTTTACAATTTTATTCTTGTATCTCGATTACAAGAGGGGTTGCTCTGATGGTAAGCAACCTCCACTTCCAACCGAGAGGTTGTGAGTTCGAGTCTCCCCAAGAGCAAGGTGGGAAGTTCTTGGAGGGAAGGATGCCGGGGGTCTATTTGGAAACAGCCTCTCTATCCTAGGGTAGGGGTAAGGTCTGCGTACACACTACCCTCCCCAGGCCCCACTAAGTGGGATTATACTGGGTTGTTGTTGTTGTTGTATCTCGATTAAATAACATTGTAGATTGATAATCTTGTCTTCATATTACTCAACTTTGAGGTATTCTGTCTTTATTCCATGGAAAATTTAGCGCAAATCTCTGTTATATATCTCTTTAATATTTCAAATGCTAACATCATGCTGTATGGTATGAAAATTCAGCTTTCCCTAGATAAATCATTCCACTAAATTGTTTTTTTTCTTCGGAAAAAACCAACTATTACACCTCAATTCCAAACTAGTGGATTAAAGGAGTCAGCAAGTACCATGAAAATTTTGAAATTTCCATTAGAAATAAACAGATTTGAGTTCTAATTGAGTATAAATTCCTAGAATCCCAGTTCTTATGGTCCTGTTCTCCTTATTAAAAATCTCTCAATTGAAGTCTATAACAACAATTTGATAAGAAAATGAAAATAAGAGGAAACTAAAAGGGAAACCTGAAAAAGAAAAGAAAAGGTAGAGGAAGCTAAAAGGAAATCGCGATAGGGACTTCTATGGTTGACATACACCTTTCCTCCCTTTTCCTGTCAAAGTTAAGACTTCTCTACGTACTGTGATATGTCCAAGCACCATTATGTGTTTCTCAATGTTTCTCTTTTGGAATACAGATGCCGGATGTTATTGTTGACTATGATATGTCAAGAAAAATGTTCTCTGTCATTCATCAAGAAGTAATTGATGTCTGCCACGATACTAAGTGCCACTCAAACAATGAAGAGAGAAGCAGAAATGAGCTTCTCGGCATCCCTTTAAAGAAGGAAAAGTACATTCAGAATAATGAAGTACAAAAATGGAGTGACTTTGCTGAAATTTATTCCTGTGAAGAAAAAGAAGTGATATCCCATGATGGTGCAAGGGTTCCTATAACTGTTCTATTCTCTCGTAAAGCACATAAGAAGGGTCAGTCTCCTGCGCTTCTACATGGATATGGAGCATATGGTGAAGTGTTAGATAAAAGCTGGTGCGGGGACCGCCTGAGCTTACTTGATCGTGGTTGGGTGATTGCATTTGCTGATGTAAGGTACAATCCTCTTTTATTTTAAGTTGGATTTTAGTATTCCGCAATGCAATGGAAAGAAGAAGAAAGAGGGAAACAAGAAAAGAAAAGGAATCCACTGGAAACTGTTGAACCATTACTTATCAATCCACGAACTCTAGTGCAACAACAACAACAACAACGGCCCAGTATAATCCCACAAGTGCGGTCTGGGGAGGGTAATATGTACGCAAACCTTACCCCTATCCCGAGGGGCAGAGAGGCTGTTTCCAGGAGACCCTCGGCTCAAGAAAGCAACAAGAGAAGTTCTTACACTCTAGCTTGGTCACTATCTCGTTGAGTTCCATTAGTTGTTGTCAGTGTTATCAAAGGCGCGCTTAAAGCGCGCTTAAGCCCTGAAGTGAGGCTCAAAACATGTTGAGTGCTTCGCCTCGCTTAGCGGGCGCTTCAATGTTGTCATCAAGGCTTTAAGACATACTTTTCCTTGCCAATGAGTTTAATCCAGAAGAGGCAACACTAAACAATTGATATTTCACTTTATCGTAAATTTTCTTCAATTTCTTTGTCTATATATTTGGTATTTATGCTTATAGATATTAGTCTTGGACTACACATACATATTTGTAGTTTTTCTCCATTTGCGCCTTTCTTCAAAAGACCACACTTTATTTGCGCTTTGTGCTTAAAGCCCCAACAGTCCTTAGAGCTTTTTTGCACTTTTCGCCTTTGATAGCACTGGTTGCTGTCGGTTTCTCTCTTTTCCAAATGCATGTAATAGTGCATTGATATAAGCTGCTAAATGAACAAGATAGTTTACTGCACGGGTCTGGAAAGCAATATCATTGCTTGTGATTTCTTGAAACAAAATACTTAGGTGACATATTTTACCTGTGCAGAGGTGGTGGTGGTCCAGATCCTTCGTGGCGCAAATATGGGAGTGGAATGAGCAAGTTGAATTCTATAAATGATTTCATATCATGCGGGGAATACCTTGTCAGTGAGGGTTATGTTCATAAACATCGGCTGGGAGCTATCGGTGTAAGTGCTGGAAGTCTTCTTGTTTCAGCAGCAATTAACATGCACCCTGAACTTTTTCAAGCTGCAATTCTGAAGGTAAAGCACCAATTGGAAATCCTCGAAACTTCTATTAAACTTCAGTTGACACGGCCAAATGACTGTAATTCTCTTCTTTTGCTACGGTAACCCATCCGTGACCAGGACAAGGAACATGTATTGCTGTCAAATCCCTGTTTGTTGATTATTCCCATCTGTCACATCGCATTTCTCAACGTAGTTCGCATTCTCTTCACAAGGAACTTACAATAATTAACTATACCTATATGTTGTCAAATTTAATATGCTTACCTCATGGGTTGCTTTTCAAACTCAACTATAATACACTGGGATGATAGGAAGTGTAGCTTATTTTTTGTTTGACACTGATGTATTATAGCAGCTCATGTATGTAATGCTTGTTCCAGGTTCCTTTTCTTGATGTGTGTAGTAGCTTGTTGGATCCCACCTTGCCTCTCACTGTTTTAGACTATGAAGAATTCGGAAATCCTCAACTACGGGCCCACTTTGACTATATTTTGAAGTATTCTCCTTATGACAATATTCCTGAAGGAGTTTGTTGTCCCGCAATGCTTGTGAAAGCTTCATTGAACGACTCCAGGTAATTTGTTCTCATGTACGCCATTAAGCATAACTCTCTTCTCCAAATTATCCTGCACATCATATTTATGTAATACTTGCGTCTGTTAGATGGTGTGGCTGAAGTGCTAATGCATTTTCAGCAAACTAAGACTCTGGCTTTGGTCATATTATGTATTTATGCAGAGTTGGTGTTTGGGAAGCTGCAAAATGGGTGGCCAAGATACGGGATAAAACGTGCACTAGGTGTTCGTCTTCAGTCATACTTCAGACAAACATGAGTGGAGGACATTTTGGTGAAGGTGGTCGTTTTGGCCAATGTGAGGAAGCAGCTTATGAATATGCTTTTCTGATGAAAGTCCTGGGAAATTCTTGAACTAAATTGTGCAGCTTCTGGATTTTGATGACTAAGGTTGGTCTAGCGCTGTTCCCCTAATGACAGAGAGACCAGAGGGAAAATGTTCACCAGCTGAGGCTCTAAATAAACCAAATGCACCCGGAAACTCCTGCTGGTATGAGCAAGAAAGAAATATGAATTTTAAGCAAAACTCCTTTTAGCCAAATCGATTTAACGTGCCTTTCTTTATGCTAGTTGCAGAATGGCGTGAGTCGTGAGAAGAAGAGCTAGAGATTACAGAGGTTGACTGCTGCCATTGTCAAGTGTAAGAGGGTCTGGATTTGCAGTTCAAAGTCTTAACACACACCACGGTTACAAGTCAATCCACCTAGAAACCGTTGAAATGAATCTGAAGAAGTACCTTATGTTGCAAGTCACAAGTCATAACCATGTAAGTCTCTGGACCTGTAAGTTCAATATTTGGGAGGCGGAGGTGATGCAAACTTGAGTTGATTTGACTTGGTATCGCACCATGGTATAGTTGTATCTATATCTTCAGCCTCTATTGGGCTTGGTCTAACTCTTCATCGTTGTCTGTACCCCGAAATGGCTCTAAATTGATCGCGAGCAGGTGGAGGAGTTTCTGTATCCTCAAGTGATGTGTATAGCATCGGTGAGGTAAAATACGTGAATTCCAAATGTTAACTTAGGGATTTCATTAAGCTGAAGGAAAGAGGATAGGTGCATGACTGAATATCCTTGTGGTTGTTGACTGAATTTAACTCAATTCATTTTGATAGCTTAGGTTTTCCAATTATTGATTCAATCCGTTTAACCCGTCCAAACTTAGCCCAGCTCGCTCATTTACCGCCCTTAGCTTAAACCTCTAATTATTTGAAAAAATGACATTGAATAGCCGCTGTAAAAATAATAACCGAAAAAATGTAGACACAACTCAATCTGTATTACTCGAGTCATACCACCCTTAAATTGCAATTGATTTCTAACTACGATAGGAGAAAGAGTAGCACCCTGCAATATCAAATTTTCCAGAAAATTCGGACTAACCTGTATAGTTGTATGAAATAGATGACATTTTGTAGAATGACACATAAAAAAACTAACATATTTAGTGACACTTTATTTGATATAAGAAAAATACTAGTAGTATATAAGATGTCTTTGTAGAGGCTTCAAGAAAAGTACATATTTATTGACACAACAAAAGTCTCATACCAGTGCTACTTACAACCATAACTCCATGGCTCTAACTTACAGACATAAAATAATTGAGGAAAGGCTTCAAACTTGCCATAGGAATATGACCAACAAGAAGATTAACACGCTGCAACCAACAACCTAACTTTGAAGAACGAAAAAAACAAGCACAAGCAATTCTTGTTTGCAAATCTCGTTGCAAGCACGGGCATGTAAAGTAAAAGCATAAAGCACAGTAATGAATAAGTTGAAGAAACCATATATCCACATTCGTTTATATCCCCAACCGATGTTTAGACATCTCTCAATGTTATGGCAATCAGGCAAAACACAGCGTTATACTAGTGCATCAACACTTGGTTCTGCCAATTCAAATCAAATTCCAAAACATTTGTTCAAAAGGGTCATGGTCTGACAAAAGACTGAAGATCAGACAGGACCGAGATTTGGATGCTTATCCAACTTATATACAACTTCTGCTTTAGGTGATGCCCGCTTAAATTTTGTAAGCTCAGCAAGTATTTTGATTGTTGCAGATTCTTCAACAAGACATGGCTCGATTAACATTCTCACCAGCCTGGGAGACTTGGCCAACAGAAGCTTCATAAGCTGCATTTCAGGGATTGTGCCGTTAGTTTGTATTAGCTTAACTTCCCTGAGGTGATTAAATGTCACATCTGAGAAGCGTTCCACTTCAAGAGATTCTAGAGCCGGTATATCATTGTCATCACTAGCCTCCACCTAAGAAAGATGAACCAAAACTTAACTCTCTGAGCTTAATGATGATTTAAGGAGCATGAAAATAAGAAATCCACTACATAAAAAGAGAGAAAAGAGAACCTTCATTTCCATATACTGTAAATATGGGAAGCTTCTTATCAAGCAAAGAGCACATGGAACCTCATCCAAGTCAGACAGATAAATACTAGATATACAAAGATGTTTGACACAATTAAGATTAAACGGAAGCCTTGTTGGTATTTCACCTGCTCCTGCAACAAAGGACTAGAAAGAGCCAAAAAATCAGAATGACTTGATGCCCAAAAGATGCTCCATGATTGAAAATGCATCACAATGAAGGCAAGAAGCAACGTTTACCATGTCATTCAAGTGGAGATGCTCGAGAGCAGAAAAAGACTCAAATAACTTGGCGATAGTACATTTTCCTGCTGCCACATGATATTCCCTATGCGAAAGTGAAAATTTTGCTAGAAGAGGAACATTTTTTAAATAGACAGATCTTATATTGCCTGTGTAGTCAAAGGATCTCAGGACGGGAGCACTAATTTTGATGACGTTGCTTAAAGCACCTGAGATATGCAGCACTAACTGCTCAAGTAACGGGGACCGAGAGATTAAACGTTCAAGCAACATGGAAGATATTGTAACATCACGTAGTTCTAGGCTGATTAACCAATCAAACCCTTTAAAGTGTGGTGGATGATGTATTGAGCAATTATTGAGAGTCAGATGCCTCAACTGGAAACATGTGAAAAACAATGGCGGCAACTCGTACGAGCTACCCCTGATTGGAAGTCTAAGAACAAGATGTTGAATGCCATTTCTACTAAGGAAATTTATCAAGCTGTCAATATTAGAACATCGGTCCAAATAAGGAATGCAGAGGCTAAATTTTTTAACTGGTCCTGCATGATAGACTAAAATGTGGCTGACAATCTTTGAAAAGTTACTTGTAAGGTCTGTTATATTCTCTTCTTTTTTCCAAAGTGTTTGCTCAAGCGTCAATTGTGGAAGTCTACGCCATATATATCTCCATCTCTTTGACAAGATGCTAGTCCTCAAAGCATCTCTCAAAGGCAAACACATAAGAATTTCATCAATTACTTTCCGAGGAAGGTTGCTAAGTATATCAGGAGGTAAAGTTCGATAGCGATACTGCCTTTTGCCCGTAGGATACATCATATAATATATACGTCAATAAGAACCTGCACAAAATAAATGCTTTAAAAAAACTAAAAAAAAACAAAGAAGACTTTACTAAATTAGTGGACTATTGGTACATTAGCTTAAAAAATGAAAATATTTTGCAAAATATTTAAGCTTTACAAAAAGAATAATAATTGTTTTTAATTTAGCATTGACCTAATGGTCAAAGGGCATAAGTGAACCAAAAAGGTGGATGGAGGGGTATTTTTAGCCCAATAGGTGGATGAAGGGTATTTTTACACCTTTTCCAATAGTTTAGGGGCATTTTGAACCCTTTTCCGTTTATTTGAAATTACTCCTCCCCTTTCTTTATATTTTGAATTTTGTTGTTTGAAAATACTTTTTATTTTTTTTTGTTTAGTCTTAATAACATCAAAACTCTCATAATTCCAAGATGACATGTCTCTCAGATCAAAAATAAAAATAAATTTAAAATAAATAAATAATCAAATACACGAAAATAAAAATAACAATTCAAACTTGCAACCTAGAAATATATACACCTACAGCTATACCGTTAGTTCCCCGGCAACGGCGCCAAAATTTGATCACGCCCAACTATGCCTTAATAAAAGGACACATGGTCATTGCAAATATAATCCGGTTTACAAGTCCGGAGTCGAATCCCACAGAGAACTAAGGCTTAGCTACAGTTGTTCACTATCACCAAGAATACAAGCTTGAACAATTCCTAACTTATAGATATTAAGATTCTTGTGTTTAACTAACTAACTAACAAATTAAAATAATAAATTAATACTAAAGATACTACAGGTTAGGAGAAAAGATTAAGGAGGTCTAGAGTTATGATTTCTCCAATTGTCGGAATCCTTTCCGCTATGTCTTCTATAATTTTCCCTAAGTATTGTCTACCGATCATGAGCGCTCTGCGTGTTGTAATTCTCTCCTGAGTAATTACGACAATTTACTAGACATACTCTCCCGAGTTACGCTAGCTGGCTTTAATTACAGCTCACTTAGATCGCACCCAAGTTTCGTTATCCCTAATCCCACATTTAAACCCTTGGTTATCGATTCCTCACATACGTCGGGAGTGATGTTGTTCAACAACTACCTAAATATGCATTCTCTCCCGAGTAATACATACTAAATAGGCACAGCTAATTGAGGGCCCTTCAATCAACCACAAGAATAATATAGTTGAACAATAGAGAAAATACTACGACTCAATTATATAAAAACATAACAAGAATTTATCCTACAAAAGGTTCCATCAAAATCCTAGATAACAAATTAGCTATTCATAATAGTATGTAAAACTACAATACTAAAAGTCATAACCAACAATGAAAAATAGGAAGAGGAAGGAAAAACTCTTAGAAGAATTTCCCGCCTTGCTCCTATTGTGTCTCTGCCTCCTTAGGTCGAATCTGTGTTAAAAATTGGGCTCCTCCCCTCAAAATACAGTTTTTCCATGTATATATACCAAGTAGGGTCGGGCCCAAACAATTATACCTTCTCCTACGCAAAAACGGACAAGTTTCCAGGCCTGGACGTCTGCGGCCTCGGTCCGAGCGCGGTACTTTCCCAGTGTACTGCCTCAATCCGTGTCAGTCCGTGGTCGCAGTTTCGGCCGCATTTTCACCCCGTTTCATTTGGAATTTAGAAAAACGTAAAACGTGAAAGTTGTATCCCTTTGAGTTAGTTTCCAACCAAATATTGTGGAGCCCAAATGGAGTTCTGCGCTAAACGTTATGTGCATTTTACTAAACAGTGCGCAATATGCCTACTCAATTCTTCGTTTTGTTGCTCTATCATCCGTTGATCCCAAATACGATCCCGGCTTAATTTTTTGGGCTTTTACTCAGACTTCAAAGCTCCAAATCACTTGAATTCATTTCATAACATCTTAATAGCTCGAAATTACCGCTACAAGGCATAAAACATACAATTAGTGCAAGACACTAGTGATTAAAGTTCGAACTCAATTAAAGTGCAGTAAATTTGAGTGTAATAACGACTAAAATACATAATTATAGCCTATCATCAACACCCCACACTTAAACCATTGCTCGTCCTCGAACAATCAAACTCCACTTTTTTATTGACACGACCTTTTTAAACAATTCTCCTAACTCATCACACCAAGAGTATTTAAAATAGACTAAGCACAAAAGCGTAACATCTTCACCTCAAGATTTGACTCACAAGTACCACGCATTGCTCACAACTCACTCACTTACTCTAACATAGAGGTCACTGACATTACCTTTCCTTCATGAATCAAGTGCCCTCACACAACAAAAGAGAGTAATTCCACACAATAAAATTTAAGAACACTTAGGAACTCAAGATAGAAAGAATTCACTCACTCTCAGAAATAACATTCACATGCCACAAAAGATGCACCATAAGCTTGCCCGTAGTGTACTACTCTACTAATCGAGCTAATTCAACCTACGATCAATTAGGACTTTATTTGGTTGTAATGTAGGCTATGGGATGTGTATGATACATTTAGATATAAGAGTAACTACACCTCCCTAAGCACTTTGATACATATACTTTAACATTTAAACCCCATACTTATGTCAAACCAAACTCCACCTTCACATCAATGTATATTACCCCATACTTCTTTAAGCACAATTACATCAAGAGTCACCACTTAGTAAGGAATACTTTTTTTTCACAGTAATA